TATTTTCACTTGACTCGCATAAATAATTTTGTTCGAAGAACATTTTATGCAGTTTTACTTCGCAGCACTTCACTTGCAATTTGTAATTTCTAGTATTATTAAGGTTAGTTTAGCGAAATGAACTAGATTTAAAAAATGTTGACATCCCAGCATGTTTTGGCCATTATCTCTGAAACAGGATTTGCGATTAGTGACTGGTTGGCTTGTCTTTGCCACATATTTTAAGGCATGTCGCTTTTTTTATCAAATAAAATTTTATAATCTAGACAGGACTACTTGTCCACACCATCAAATTTTTGGTCAACAATAAATATGATATGTCCATATTTGGATTTAATATTAACATCATCATGTCCATATATGGGCATAATAGTTTAATAGTCTTCACAGGATTTACAATATGAGTTCCTGCAAAGATCAACATGTTTGATGGGCACAGGTCAACAAAGCGCCTCATCAGGGTACCTATTCATTGATCACACAGTTCATACAGATATCTACTCATCAAACATACCCACGCATTGTCCTACAGATTTCATATGTTTTCATAAAATTATTGACGTATTAATTAAGTATTTTTTCTCCATAGATCTTGCTGAAGGCAGTCTGAAGGCAGTTCTCAATCTTGTGTCACAAATCAGGAAACGATTTGACGTAAGTGCTCATTATCATTAACATTTTTTTAAATAAAAGGACAACTTTTATTTTATAGTTTCTATAGTAGATTATATCTTAAATAGGACTGGGGGATGGAGAAGGATGCGGAAATGGGATTACTCCCCCTAAAAAAAAAACCAAGTTCCCCCCAATCCACCTAGTAGCTGTCCCCGTCTGTCGCATTGAAAATGTTCAAAGCAAAAAAAGTCACAATGAAGTAGATAAAAATCACCTCTTATCACCTTATTTGGCAAGTTAGCGCCCCCCTCACCTAATCATCGGGCCCCCACTTTACCATCTGGCCCCCCCACCCATCAGGGTCTCCATTACAAGACTCATGGATATGCCACAGAATAGGACTTGCAATTGAAATTGAAAAAGAGTTTTAAAATGATGTAAAGTGAAATATGTGTCATGTCTTAATTATAAAAAAATATTTGGAAGGAAATGATAAGAGTAAACAGAGCTTGTGATATAAGTGTGGTGTAACTGTCAGTAAATTCCCTGAAGAAAAGATAGAAGTTATCTTGTTGGTATCAGACTTGCAAACATCAAAACTGTTCTTTGATTTATTTTTAACTCTTACACGTGAAAATTAATAATTTTACAATTGCATTTTTTTCACACGTCAGTTAATGGGATCCCATTATCTTCCATAATGTAGGCCTACTATTTGATTTAAGGATTTTAGGAGAATAGAGACTGGACTGTTTTTGAGAATCTATTTGAGCAAAGTTTGCAATTTTTAGAAAAAAAAACAAAACAAAACAAAAAAACAGGAAAATTGTTTCCCCCTCCCATGCTCTTCTCTGAATATACTACTGAGAAAAAAAACGGTGAATGAGATACAGATTTTTGAATATTTAAAAACTGGGGGAAAAAGGTGTAAAAATGGGCGGTTACGCTCCTTTTGTCCCAGTTTTTAAATATTCAAAAATCTGTATCTCGTTCACCGTTCCCCAGTTTTTCGTCAAACAACTTTTTTCTGTCTTAGAAAAATCAGTTCTACAACATATAAAAATTTTTTTTTTCCTCTGGAGCCTGACTTTAAAATCATCTTAACCATTGTTGTGATTCTGGACCTCATCTACTCCTAAACAGAGATGGCACCAGTAAAGGGGGATGGGCAGCATCGGGGCAGCTGGGAATTTTATGCATGTACCCCTTTCGAAGGCTTCTGAGTGTCTTCCCGACCAGGCCCATTTGCAGTTTCTGAAAAATCAACCCCTCTGCATCTGTCGTCAGGGACATCGACCCCTACATCAGACAAATACTGGCACCACTACTAATCTACTTTCCCCTTTCTCATATTAGTGACTAATAAAGCTAAATGTTATTTTGTTGTTTGTGAGATGAAAAACAAATGGATGACTACATATTCTGAGGAAGTGAGCAACCTGATGATCCTATGCGGTACAACCTTGTCCTCTACCTGAAAAGATGATCAGAGAAATTGTCTAATTCTGTCTTTCAAGACTTGATGATTGGTGCCGACAGACATCAACACACCTGTCACGCTTAATAAACAAATCTATTTTTTTTTATTTAGTGTTACTTGATAAAGTCTATAGTTCAAAGGGTTAAAGTTGATGTTTCTAAAATGCATGATACTGAAAAATAATGGGCATTATTTTTAATGTAAGCACATTTTAAATAAATATCTAACCAGACCATTAGTATTAGAAGAGAATTATTAGATTTATTTTAATTTATTTTTATGTAAAAGATTTAATATTTTTTGTTATATTGATTACAATTTTTATTGTTATGATTTGGCATGTTTTTTTTTAAAACTATTACATAAAAAAAGTTTCTACCCTGATAATTGAAGGTCGTGGTCTTTCTAGGAATTTTATAGTTGAATTAAAGGTTAAAGAAATGATTTGCGTGATAGTTTAAGGTCATAATTCAATAACCCACTTTTATTAATTCATCCAATTTTAGTACTTCCTTTTCTTAATATAATATATGTGATCTAGTATTACTATAAATTAAACATTACTAGTATTAGTAATAACACATAAAAGTTCAGACCCGTGTATAGACCTGTTTGGGTAATTAAGTGCTAAGTGAATTAGGAAGGCGGAATCAAACGTTTGTGTGAATCTTCCTCGGGGTATAAATGAATTTCTTGATTTTGGAATTGATTCGTATTCTAGGCCTTTGTTAGTGATGTATGAATAATGACAATGGGTGTGTGAAGACGTCTGTGAGAGCGTGCGCGTGTAATCATGGGTGTTCTTGTACATCCTGATGAATAGTGTTTAGTGCAATACCGACGGTTTCTCTAAGTGGTTTCTCAATGACGAAGTGGTTTTAATGCGATGACTTATTTTAACATCCTATAAGTATAAATGTTGTAAAGAGCTGAGCCATTCAGTTGCAGGATCTTGTTTGGGAAATCACTTCACAATGACAGTTCTACCACAACAAGGGAATACTAAGGTTTGTTTAATAATAGTTAGCTCGTCTTTAGTTATTAAATCAGTGCTATCTCATACTTTTAGTAGGTTCTAACATTTTTTAAAAATGGTGTCGCATTTGGTTAATCAAGGAATTTTCTTTTTCTACTGTATTTTTGTATTATAGAAAATACAAATTGGTTCTGATACTAAAAACTACACTGCTATTTTATTTGCTGATAGTGATTTATAGTTATCTTTTATTATTAAGGCTTTTTAAAATAAGAATTGTTGATATCATTTGTAATTAAGATTGTTGCTACACTGTATGTGTTTTAAATATGTTTCATTAAATAGCAATCGCAAAGTTTGATCTAAAGAATATAAGTACAGTTTGCCCTCCAAATCGAGACCACTTTGGGACCTGAAAATGTGGTGTGATTTAAGGCATGGACCAGGGTTTGGTCTCTAATTGAAGTATTAGCTTTGTTTTAAAAGATTGAAGATTGTTGGTTCTTGGAAAAAGTGGTATTGAATTAGAGGGATCTCAGAATTAGAGGTTTCTTAAATTGTAGTGGAGCATTGTACATAAAATTGTCATTCTTTACAACTGGTGTCAGTTCCCAAAATCTACAATATTTGTTAAATTACCTCTGCAGTTTTTAATGATGTGTTTTTAAATAGTATTTGTTTATTTTTTGACAGAAATCAACAACAAATGGTAGCATCCATACTACGGAGTCTTATGATCAACATACCTCAACATTGTCCAGACCAAGCAGTTCTAAGTTTATGCTTGCTCGCGAAGACACCATAAGTACTCACGTAAGTGACAAAAAGCACTTATCATCTGCTATTAAGACAAAAAATAACCCTGTGAACAATGGGTATAGAGTACTGGTTTCTCATTCAAACAATCTGATAGGGAGATAAATAATGGGTTTCTCTCCTAGAAGAATTCAAAAGGATTTAAAATCTAATATGAGGGTACTGTCTGTGATGATTTCAGGCAGCTTCCCATGCTAAGAAAATCTAAGTGGGAGATAAGTAGGCCTACTACAGTAATCCCCCAAGGGTTGGCTTAATGCTATGAGCATTTAACTATACTTCTTCATGATGTGAATAGCTAGGTAATTCACACTGTAAAAATGTTTACAAATACAGGTTTCCCTCCAATTAAAGACCACTTTTGTAACCAGGGATGTCTGTAGCAGCTTTGGTCTCTAATTACAATAATAAAAATAAAAGAAGTTTGTAAATTTGGGACCATAGGAAAATTGTCTTTGAGGTGGTTTTAATTGCAGGGGTTTTTTTATTTAGGAGGAGTGGGAGAACCATTATTCTTGTTTTTATTCTTTCATGTCTTTATTGTATTAAAACAAATGTATTGTTTGTCTTAATGTATTGCAACATCGGTAATTTAATTAAATAATTTCTTTGTCTTACAATAATATTTGAGGAACATAACATTCATAATAGTGTTATTTCTGCTTATTTAGACTTGTCCATGATTCACTTCCTACTTTTTTGCACCATTTCCACTTAATCCAACTGTCAATTTTCATTTACAGTAAACCGAATAATTACACTAAGTTATTGTTGAGTTACAGATGGAAGTAATTTATTATAAATGTGTAATGCTCTTAATATATTGTCTATTTATTTCATGTTTGTTGTGATTTAATTAATAATAATATGAATTCTGACACACCATGTGTTTTTTAGAATTGTGGTTCTAAGGAATAGCATATTATAGATTCTCTTGACATTTCAGTGAATTACTCTTGATTTAATGAGAAAGTTACACATCATTTACCGGAAGGTAATTTATAATTAATTGTTTAACCACCCTTCCAGACTTTCGAAATATATTATTGTCATTTATTTATGAGTTTCCTGTGTTACTTTACTGTACTTTTTATTATTCTTTTCAGTCTTTCAATTCTCTGAACAGCTTCAAAAAACCTGATTCTATAGGTAAGAATAATTTAATCGTTATTTTCAGCTCGGCAACAAAATGGGTTAATTCAAACATTCGTAGATAGGCTGCTTTTATGTTTTATATGTATATTTAATAATTGTAATTAATCTCTATAAAAACTAGGTAGATAGGTTGTTGAAGCTTCCATGATAGGTCAATCTCACACAGGCTTATGTCAGGTAAAGTAAAATTAATTGCAAATTAAAATTAATTGCTAGTTCCATGTCCCTGCCCTCGTCAATTTTAGGAGCCTCATAAAAAAAAATTTCATGGAAAATAAAAATAATGAGGATTTTGAAAGATTGTTTTCAAGCCCAAGATTAGAAGAGTTGGAAAGAGTTGGTAGAATACATTACATAGATTCATTTTAATTCTTTTATTTAAAAAAAAAAATTATTTACCAGCCTAGTACAAGCTTATATGATAGTAAATAGTAAACACCCTCACCAAAAATATTTTCAAATCCTGAACGTGATCCTTAATCCTTGTTAGTAGATCCCTATACAAAGTAGCTTGCTGAAGTCCAACCTTTTCAATTGATTTTCAAACAAAATAAAACAAGGTAAACAATATGAACAATGCAGTTGATTCATGAAGGTTGAATAGGCCCATTAAGTACTTATACTCATTTGGTCAGAAGTTGGTTATAGATTTGGCATCTCAATACCAACTAACTTAAAGTGATTAACTAATAATTACTTCAAGTTGATTGACGATGTTTCCAATTTTAAAATTTTAAACTTAATATGCATGTGATTATTAATTAATAATTAATCACATGCACAAAAAGTGGTTTAAAAAGAATAATATAATTTAATAAGAACGTCTCTAGTGTGTTTTTAAGTAATATTGTTTAAACTTTATATAGCTATTTGCACAATATCAAAATTTATACCACGCCTTTTGCCAAGGGTTACAAGGCGCTGGCAGTTTTATTATCTCATGGTTTTTACTGTCATTTTTAGTTACATACCGATCTAACGACTCCTATGAAGTGAAAGCAAACCAAAGTTGCCCCGTCACCATGAATATCGTGTCTGAGCCCATATTACCAGGTAGCATGACCCCTAGGGGTCATGAGGAGAGTCAACCAATCGTTGTGCAACGAATCGACAAACTTATGGTGAGTGTACTTCCAATGTCTATGATCATTTGATAATTTTTTTTTTTTATATAGAAGCTGTATCATCATTTGATTTGATTTATTTATATCTTCATAAAATACAAATAAAAAGACTTAATATGCTAAAATATAAACAAAAGCAACTTTTAGGAAGATATTGGGGATAATGCACCAAGTCCCTGCAAAGGGTCTTGTTTCCAGAAGGGTCTCCATTATCATAGTATTTGCATTTTTGTAAAATCTATTTTATAATTTTAGTCAACAACCCAGCTAGATTCTCGTGGCGTCTCCCAGCAAGGCGTTGAAACAAGGAGAGAGCAAATTACTTGGGAAAAAAGTAATAGATATTCTGTCCGGCCTGAACCCAGGAAGAAACCGTTATCAGCTTGGTCAAATGCTAATAGTTTTTCAGTAAGTTATTTTATTAGTAAGTTATCTTCTGTAACCTCCTCCCCCCGGAAAGAACACACAATAAAATTATTATTCTTATCAGTTTGAAGTCATTTTATCTTTTTCATAAAAGAGTACATTGTCAACCCGCTCTCTTACTAAACCGTATGTTTTGTAATCTTACAAAAGTGATGAAAACAATGTATGATCTTTAAGGAGTCATCCATTATTTTCATTAAAAAAACATTCTCTTTTCTGTTACCCCCTCCCTCCCCCTGGAAGAGTACACAATAAAATGTTGATTTGTGTCATTTTGAGATGCCCTTTTTTCATGAAACAGTACACACTTTCTACCCCCTCACTCTAAAACATGTTTTGTACTCTTTTGAAAGTTATGGATGTCCCCTAAGAGGGTTTGTAATTGTACCACAATCCAGAACTCACAGCCTAGTAACTCGTAAAACATTTAGTATTTCTTAAGTGTTCCTTCTAAGCAGAAATAATTCATTAACAAAGAACTTAAAGTAGCTTTGTGTTTTCAAGCCCACAAAGAGGAACTGGAACTAAGTAACAAAATACATGTTTTCTTTGCAATTATTCAGCCACTAAAACATGCATTCCAATTGATTATTTTTCATTTTTTTCCCAAGTATATCAGCTGGAAGATTTGAAAGAATAGTAACAAATTGTGTTAAAATATGCAACTTGTGGTATCATTGAGAAAGTTATTTGTAGCAAACTAAATAGTGTATTTAATCATGGTGGGAAGAACACAAAATTGTGTAGAAATTTCATTAACGCAAAACAAATTAATATGAATAAGGTCAAAAAATTGCAGACCAATTCAAGCACACATTGTTGTTGTATCAGTAAATCTGATTTTTTTTTTTTTTTCCTTTAGAAATCTAATTCTCCTGTGAGGGAAGTGTTGTCAGTGACTGTTGAGGAAAGGCTAAAGAATTTGCTAGATAGCCCGGCACCAGGGGGCAGTATCAACTACCAGGTACAGTAAAACCATAAATTAAACATTTTCTGACCCTGCATATTTGCAGTTTTTATGATGGAAAGAGTAAAAAATAAAATCATTTATAAGTTTGAATTAAAATTTACTGGTATTTGTATTTTTAGATCATTACTAAGGTTGTTGCAAAGTTCATAACCTGTTGCACAAGATAGTAAAGCTATTAAATAATATATTTTCTTTTTTTCTGACTTACAAAACTATATTTTTTAAATTGATTACTAGCAAATTTAAAAATCTTTGCAAAAAATATAGAATCATAGTTATATATTATGCGTTAAGATTTTGATGGCGGTAAAAACCAATTATTTTTTGACAGTGGGTGGTGTGGTGGTTATATATGATCACAGTTGTAATGAAAAAGAAGGTTTGAGAAATGGTTCTACTTTGTTAAAGTCATTGTCTCTTTAAAAATTGTACAGGGCTATGATGACGGTGAGTTGATCCAACCTGCTCCACCACCAGCAAGATGGAATTATGGTTACGTTGATGACGAAGATGAGAATAATAACATGGATGACGAGAAGAAAATCAATGATATGCTGGATAATCCGAAGAAGTTCAAAGTTCAATCTGACTGGGATCGATATGTCTCCGGATATGTGGTTAGTCTATGTATTAGTATTATAATATATTAATTTTCTCCAAAGCAAAGCAACAACAAACATGTTAGAGGAGGATGAACCCAGAGAGGAACAAAGTTTCAATACAAATGTACGGCAGCCACAATCTTGCAGAACAGCAGGTGAAACAATAGCAATCAGCTTAAGATAAAATAGCATAGCTAAAAGAGAAGTTGAAAAATTAAAAATTAATAAAATTATACACACCTAAAGTATGTGGAAAGTGAGAAATAATATAAACAATTAAACTGGGTACTTACAGTCTTGAATAGGCAATTGGATAATTGGCACTCTATATAGTAAAAGGAAAACCATTTATGTTATTTATGTCTGTTAAAAAAAAACCATTTTTTTTTCTGTTTTGTATTTAATTTCCAGCCATCACATGTTGAGGATAAACTTGAAGGCCCAAGAGCCCAGGCCTTGCTGGATCGTCCCAAGATCTCACCCAGGGAAGAGAAGCCCACTCAAAGGCCTGACCCACTCTTCAAATCGCCACCAGTTCAGCATATGGGCATGAACAGAAATGAAAACAATTTACCAGCATATTTCAGTAGCAATAACCAACAAGAAAGGTATTTTTATGCAACCATATTTGTATATAAAAATGCTTTCAATAATTACTGGCACAAGGAAAACCCAAAACTTAATTTTAATCAATACAATTTACCAACATATTTCAGTAACAGTAACCAACAAGAAAGAAAAATATTTTTAAACAATCACAGTTGAATATCACATGTTGAGAAACACCACAGTGGTAGCCAAAATATTTGTGAGAAAAAACTGTCTATGTTCCACTAAAACATGAATGTATGTAAAGTACTTATTTTGTGTCACCTATGGTATCTTAATTTATGCATTCTGTTTTTTCTTGTAGATTGAACTCAACATATCCTAATTATAGCCAAGAAAACAAGACTCAGCGTCCACCTTGGTATAATCCTCACCAGAACATGACAACACACTACCAACAACAGGTAAGTGTTGGTAATACGCCAGCATGCTGATACAGCATCACCAGTATAGCAAAGTTCATAAAGCCAGAGGCCCAAAAATTTTAGGGCCCCGTCGATATTACTCAGCATTTTTTTTGTCAGAACCTTGTGCTTCAAATTGGCCGAATTGGGAAACATCAAAATATGCCATTTAAAGTTTGAAAACACTGGTATAGACAAGGGTTTCGCTCATAACCCACTGGGCCCTATGCCGCCCACCGTGTTAGGGGCCTGAAGAAACCTTAACCAGGGCCTCAGGCCTCTTCTTTGCACCACTGAGCAACCAGCATATACGGGGCTTGCCATGCTAAATCCAGCATCAAAGACCAAAACAAGAAAATTGCCTTTTGTATATGTTTATATTCTCCGTATTATAAGCATTAAAATGATATATCATTTATTGGAATCGACTATTGCTGAAGTTATGAGTAAAAGTATTACAACTTCTTTGTACTGAAGTATACAAATACTGGCACATTCTTATGCTAATTACTCAGCTTAACATTTAGCCACAGTACGCTGGATTTGGGATGTCAAGCTTCATATGCTTTCTACACAATCAGTTTGTGTTAGATCACAGTTATTAACTGTGCTTGTTCAATTGAATTTTGAATATGTTAAACAATTTGTAAAAGGATTTTCTAATTTGATCTCAGCAGAATAGTCAGCATTACCATGCCGAGAATGGACACTTACAAAAACATCTGCCAAGCTATCAGGAACATATCAGTAGACAGACTCCAGAAATATCCAGAAAGATTAGTCCAATGAAAACACAGCAATGGTGGAAGGAGTACGAAGGTCAATATTACCACCAGGAAAGGGATTCAGTGGATTATAATCAGGAGACAGATCAATATAAAGAAACTGCCTTTGATCAGTTCCAAGACAAGAAACGCAAGCATCCATTCTTAAACCAGTTTCCCAATCACAGTGAATTTGACGATTCAAAAATGGCAAGACTTCGCCAAAGAAGAAGTTCAATGCAGGCTAGAATTTCATTTTATGATGACCCATCTTCAAGGAGAGGAAGTTCAGTGATGACTAGTGAGGAAATGCCAGTCCCACAATACACCAGTACTCCATTTGATGTCGCAGACACACGACGATCCGATATTAATAATAGATGTGATCGGTTATTTACTAACACCAGAAATTATTACTACGATGATTCTCCCGAATTTGATCTGAACTATGAGCCAAGTGAGTGCTCAACGAGGTCTCACACTCCTCCTCTTCCACAACTTTCACCAGGGAACACACCTCCATCTTCTTCTGGAAGTTCTCCAGTTGTTGGCAGGAGTCGTAGATCGTTAAGCATTAGCGGATTGCCGGAGTCAATGCAAGAAAGAATCCTTAAACTGGCATACTCAGGAATTAACGATGAACAAATCTCCATGAAGAATGAGAGTAACATATTCAGAGAAGAAAGCTATCAACAGAAAGCATTGGAGAAAATGAAACGAAAGAAAAACAGTAAACCGTCTTCTTCATCCTCATCACAACAACCATCAATTAGTCAAGGTTAGTAAACCTAACAAACAAGTTTAGGTAATATTAACTAGGTTAATAATTTAGTTGACTGACTATGCTAGTTGATATACTGTCCTCATGTTTTATGTCTATTTTTGCTTTATCCTCTAGTTTATTATTATTTTATAGGATTTATATAGCACACATATTCAGATAACTTCCCAATTTCAGTTAATAATCCCATTAACTTATTTATTAATGTTAATCAATTAGCATAGTTGACTAACTATTCTAGTTGATTAAGTTAACTAATTTAGTTGATAACTGACCTCATCTTATGGCTCTACTGGTTTATCCCATGAATTTTAAGCAAAAGTAGTCAACACTTCTTTGTCTCCAATTTACACGACAATCACAGTTTTACAACAAATACAAAATACATTTGTTTAAATCAATAGATTCCTAATCAAATTATTTATTATCTTGTCATTAAAAAAATGAAGATTTTTAATAAAGAATTTATATTGTTTGTTTTTTTATTTTTCTAGTTATCACAAAAACAGATGAAAATGAGCAGTATGAAGACCAGGAGGACTCGGCAAGCGAGAGCGTGATGGACACGCGAAGGAATGACCCCGAACAATTCAAGGAAATTACGTCTACTGAGCTTGAGAAGGAACAAATGGACGCGATGCCCGTCAATGCTGAGAGTATCCGAACACAACTGCTTGCACTTGAAACTATGTACAAAGAAATATTGCAACTTATTGGTGCTGAGAAGCCTATAGGGAAGGACTCTAAGAAAAGTTTTTTTGGAAAGAGACATTTTAGTAAACCATCAACCCCAAGAGGGATAACAAAGTCAAAAGGTAAATGCAAAGGTGGTGGTGGTGGCAATGATGTGACAATGATGATAACAACTGACCTCTGTATTCATTATTAATTCATCAATTTATTTAAATTTATATTAAATTTCAACAACTTTGCATATTCAACCTCTTCAATTCATACATGTCTTTTAGTTTATGGTACCAAGTAAACCTCTATTATGGAGATTTTGAATAACAGTAGAGGGCACTTTTGGCAAAACTACCTAAAGATGTCAGAGGGCGCTATTGTAAACCACAGTAAATCTAGAATTTTCATGTATGCTATATAGTAATCTTCAAAATTTGATGAATTACTTGTTTTTTTTTTCCTGTTGAATTTTTAATAAAAAATTTATTTGTTTTGTTTAGCTGGCAGTCGACCATCAAAACAACGAGATCGCGATATCAAAGCGGTCAACAAAAGATTCTCGCGGGTAGAGTCACACGTTGTTACCTTAGCCAGGAGCGTTGCTCACCTTTCATCGGAACTTCGCACACAAAGTTCAGTACTTAGAGAAGTTGAATCACTGAGGCATGAAGTGAATCAGTTACGAGATATGCATATGATGAACGTAAATGAATTGTTGTCGTCGCCAAAATTCCGGCCAATTCTACCACAGTGTGCTAATCCACAAAGAATAAAGAAACTTACAAAGTAAGAATGATTGTGATTATGTCATCAATGAATTCTGTTCAATAACACAAAAACAAAGAACTTGTAAAAGCTGTGGGGTGGGGGGGTTACTGACTTGACAGTTGATAGGAATTTGCTTGAAAACTGTATGGTATTATACAGTAAGCAAAGCATGAATATTCATGTGGCACCTAATGAAACAAATTTGCAACATTGAGGAATTATGTTCTGTCTATGGACATATGCTCTGTCCAAACAATTAAACTATATGGGAGGAATACCTGTAATTTGCCCATATATGGATATGATAATAATTTATTGACATACACCATTTATATCGGTGGAAATCAAGAGGTGGAGCGTCATACAAACATCTTAATATAAAGTGAATCTTAACAAAACTAATGAAAAAGATATAAAGTAAAACAAATCGTCATAATCAATGTGTGTTCTTGAAAATATATATAAGGCGTTGAAACAAGGAATTGAAGATTAATAATAATAATAATAAAATTTTTTTTAAATAACCCCCACCTTCTACCCCCCCCTCCCCCACTCTAAACAATTACATAAATCTGTTTAAAACTCAAGCCTCTGGTTAAGTAAATGTTGTAATTAAGAAGTCTGCATATCCCTTCTCAATCAATCTATTGTTATTAGAAATATTATAAACCCAACAACTTGCTTTGTTGACATGTTGCCTGTGATTTGACAGTGTTAAGTATTTTTTGTTTAGTAATGTTTTCCATTTTTTTAAATAGATTTTTCGGTGAGGAGCCACCCCTCCTGGCTATGTTTCTTAAGGAATTAGGGTATCAGGTACGTTGAGAGAATTTTTGTCATTGTAATATACTATTTTTAATGTATAGTAATGTAAATATAAATTATTTCATGCAAAGTGTGTGTATTTTATGATTATTAAATTATTTTTTAGGAATCTAATTCATGTGTATATAGTGATGATGGTAGTTATGATGGTGATAATGATGACATTGATGATGATTACGATGATGGTGACAGTGGTGATTATGATGATGATGATTGATTATGATAATAATCATGCTGACTGGTGGTGATAATTTATGATTGTGTTAATGTATGATGATGATTGTTTATGGTAATAATTATGTTGATTAGTGATAGTGATAATGAAAGATAATAATGGTAGTAGTTATAAAGATTGTTATTAATTTTTTTATTAAATTTATAAGTAATATACAGTAATTACCAATAATGTTTTTCCCCAGAAATATGCTGCAAACTTTGAAAAGGAGGGCATTGGCATGATAGAGCTTCCTTACTTAAGTGAGGAAAGATTGGAAAGCATCGGTGTCCCTGCTGGTCCTCGGCTAAGAATATTACAGGAGGCCCAACTGATTGTCTAGATAACAGACATAGAGTGTGGACAAATTAAATGACATTGAAATTTAAAAAAAAAAAAACCATGCATATTAAACTTTAAACATTTTTGAATTGGGCAAATTCTACTGTATATTATACAGAAAATTATGCAAGAATGGAGACAGTATTGTTTAGTATATGGCAGAATCACTTTAATTCAATACATTATGTGCCCAAGAAAAATTATAAACATGATTTTATGAACTATATTAAAAATTTGTTTTCACAAGTTATGAATATTTTTTAAGGAATTATCACAGTGGGTACACCAAGTATATAAGAAATCAGCATTGTATATATTATTTTGATAAAAAAATATTTTTGATTTATTAACAAAAATATAAATATAGAATTAAGGTGCTTTATACTGAAAGAGGTGCGAGTTTCATTGTTTCCATAGTTACAGTGTTGCTATAGTTTCAGTGTTCATAAACAAGATCAAGCCTTTCAAATGCAGTTATCAATTTTCATCATATTTTATAAAAACATTTTTATAAACAGTACTAAATTTTCATAATGATATACGGTATTTTGATTTTTACGCAAGTCAGATATTTGTTTACTTGGTGAACGTTCTTGAAAGGGGAAATATTTTAATTGACTTTCTGTTTACTTCCATCTTTTGTCAATAAAACATTTTATAGAAAATTAATTTTCTTATTATTGTTTTGTATTTTTGTATAACATTGGTATTACGGAGAAAATAAACTAAAAATAGAAACAAGGGACCTGCCTTTTTATTCATCCAGTAGAAAAAAAAGCATTTTGCAGAGGAGACAACTGGTAGCAGAGGTGAAGGCAGCAATAGGGGTCGGGAAAAATATTACGGTCCGACGACAAAGTCGTTGGACCAAAGATATTAATTTGCCTATCTGAATAACATCATTTTGATTCCCAATCCCTAATATTGTGGTCTGAAAGCAAAATTTGGGACATACAAAGGCATGATATATCTCCCCATGAACCCTGACCGAGGCTCTAGTCGGACACTTAGTTTGTACCCCACAGTCGAACATTGGAAGTTCATGACCATTTCTTTGGCTGAATATTCTAATAATTAAACTTCTTTACTAAAATACTCGTTCAAGGCCATTTTAGACTCAAATAAACCAGTCATTGCGTTTTTATAAACATTAATTAATATTTACAACTAATTCTCTCGCCACTATTGGTCCATGTATTAGCCATCGAAATTGCAGCTGAAACCGAATCTATGTACATTACAGATTCCATGTAACAATAATTTACTCTCTATAAAATAATTTGCATAATTCGTATGATCATAACTGAGAGGTTATGACCGTCGTTTGGTTTCGTTTTTCTGAATATTAATTATGGTTATGGTTAGAAATAGACCTATTAATTTCCTAATAACCTAATTTTGAAGGATTGGTATTTTGTAAACGTGCGCCATTTCAGACAATGATTTCATGGAGGTATGTAAATATTTTTTATAGGTTTTTATTATTAATAACTTCAAGGTCAGACGAGTTTGGCCTAATAATGATTCGGAAATGCTTTTGATGTTGGTAGCTTTATTTCTGGGAGTGTTTAATTAATAGTGGTTTGAGAGTATTTTGATGACGAATTACGTGTATGGATGGAGAGGACTAACAAAAAAACAGGCTTCCTAGAAGTAGGCCTATAGAGTTTCGTTCACACTAAATCCGAATATTCGGATCGGAAAACCTACCGAAACGATCAGAAAATCCAGTCAATGGTATGGAAAGCTGTGTCCACACTCAAAAAATTGTCTGGTTGTATGCACATATATGGTCATTATGTACCTATATATGGGCATTATGTGCCTAAATATGGTCATGATGTGATGTCATTAAGTAGGCATTCGACATGTTTTCGTCAAATACTAAAATTTAAGTCTGGACAGGGCTTAAACAGAGGGGCGCTGGCGTTCAGCGCTTCTGAAACGCCGTCCGGATTTCGGTTCGGATCCGATTTGGATGGATGCTGCATATATGCCACACATGAACAAATGAATTTGGGAGGGCATTGATAATAACATAATATAGTAACATAAGCATCTGTCGCTTAAAATCGTGGATTCTTTAAATATGGCGATTGAACTTATTAGACCATATACCTACATAATGTAAACAACAGAAATAGAATATATATTTTCAAATGATATGCACAATATTACAAATATACGAAAAAAAGAGATGGATCAGTTGCTTGCATAGCCGTTCCTTATAGGAAAAAAAAACAATCAGTTTCCTGTGAAATTTGAACCTGCGACCTATTGTTATGAAAAAAGAGTATGTAATGTATTTTTTCTAAACAGTACACAATGAGTAGGCTACGGACGACCAACATGCGTGCTGTTTTTCAAGCGAAGCCTTCAATCCACTGTTTTATCGCTTATATCTTGAGGAATAGGCCTATGTTTAAAATATTATCTGAAAAAAGTTTGGCCTTCCTTGTGTGTTCCACCTTCGATAGGCACATGGCTCAATCGATAACGAAAACTTTTAGTCCATCGATTCCAATTTTTAAAATTTCTATATATTCCTACATAACATATTCCTATATAAAATTAATCCACTAAATGATCAGAGACAAATTGTGGAAATATATTTTTAAACCCGTCTCTTGATCTTAAGGTTTTGATGAAATAGGGCCTACTACTACATGTTTCCGTTTTATTAGCCTCCCAAAGGAGCGAAGCTCTGGGGAGGCTATTGTTTTTCCTATGTTCTTCATTATGTTGTCGTTGTCGGTCATAAAGTTTGGTTAAGTCCGATTGGTTTCAAACTTAGCAGAATTCAAGATAGTAATTGGGACGGAGCCTATTGTTTTGGTATCGTGTGTGAATATGCTAAAAGCTTATTTGCATAATTAATATTTCGCTAATCAGGAAATTTACGCTAAATACCATCACAATTGCCAAAGAAAATTTCTAATTTAGGTGAAATTGTAATAATTTTTGTAAATGTTGTTGACGTTGTCTCTGTTGTAGTAAATTGTTTGGTACGACGATAACTAAGATCTGATCAGTGGTTTCAAACTACTTATCAATTCTCAGAGTCAGAGAATAATCACACCATGGGGTGGCTATGCTTCTACTGCGCAGCGTAAAAGGATCGTTTCTAGTTGACAGTATACCTTTGCTTGGCTTTTGTAAAGTTAATGTAGCGGTAATACCAGCGTGGCGAAACGGGTAAAATTTTAAGTTTTATTTATAGTTTATTTCCTCTTTAGCTCGGGTTAGTGAACTCACTCTTTTCGCTCCACGAAACAAAGGAAAAGGAGGCTCTGCAGACTAAACAAGATAAACAAGTGAAAAAGTTATGTCTTCCTGCTTCATTATAATTATTTAGAGGTTCTATGATTCTCGCGGTGTTCGTTACCACGCGTATTCCTCTTTGTGACCACGCGGCCCTTTTTCACACGGTTCACACTTGCGGTCTAGTTTTAAAAGTCTCGGATCTGCTACTGAGATTAAAAGCCAATGTAACGCTCTGTCGATATCAGTTCAATCTAAGTATATACGTAAATGCACAATAAGATGATTGAAATATCCTGAAAAATTGTAATAATGATATACTCTCTGATATTTGTAACGGCAATGATAACATTAACATGCAATGGGCTTCCAACACAAAACATTTTTTAAGAGATCTCACACTATCTCAATGGTTTGAAGAAGGGAGCTTACAAATCTTCATCAATGTGATATATATG